ATCTGACATCGGGACAAAGATTATAGCGTCCCTTCCTGCATACTTCGCATACAGAGCAGGGGATTCCCGGCTCGAGAGCGACTCGATCGCCTTGCTCGAAACCGACGACATCATCCGAGACAAAACGGACGACGCCGGCAGCTTCATGACCGAGGGTCATGGGCTTGTCGACCATGAAGTCGCCGATCCGTCCTTCAGTCCAGTAATGCACGTCCTAAAACGATGGTGATGAGAGAAAACGTTGCAAACAAAACGGTGGCGGCAATAGTCGGTATACAGGAAGGCACAAAGTCAGAGAATGCTGATGACAAAGGAAATGGGGGAAAAAGGACTTACAAGCGGTGTATTTCAGACAGAGTTGAAGATAGATATACTTACTGAACCACAAATACCAACTGAGCGTATGGCAATAAGGAGATACCCCATCGGAAGAAGCGGAACAGGAACCTTCTCGATTCGAATGTCTCTCGCGGCATGTAAGACGACAGCCTTGTTCTCGATGCCATCGATATGAGTCAAGCCGAGGGATCTAAGCCCGGCTTCGTTTTTATGTCTTTTTCCGCCGTCTTGTCCACCGCCCGCGGTTCTCTTCCTATAACGGCCTGGATGGCGTTCGTAGATAGCCTTCTGATCTGGGGGAATCTTGTCGCACTCCAGGATGTGATTCTTCATGGTTTCAATCTTGCCTCGAATCTTTGTCTGGATATCGGCCTTGAGACAGAAGCGGCAATTTGCGATACGAAATTTGGACTCTTCTCCATTTACTGTTTGCCACTGTCCTGCGTCTGCGAAAAAGATCCACTCGGGGGAGCGTTTGGAACGGTTCTTGATTCTGTTCTGCTGACATGATAACTTGACGAGAGCGGCGTCCAACTCCTCTTTCGGAGCGACGCCTGGGGGATTCTGGGACATGTTGGATAAAAATGCCAGGGTGGTTTTCGTTTGGAGTACGCACGAGGTGTGCGAAAACGGAACTTGATGAGTGGGAAGGCGGCGGTGGGGAGAGGGTGTCACGGGAAGCAGGACAGAGGAGCATGAAACAAAAGACGGAAGATGCCGCGCGATGAGATGGTAATGGCGAAGAGCTAAGAGACGAAGAGGATGAGTGGGGCGAAACGTGGTTAACGGGGAAGCGGATGCGGCGATGGTCTGGTAGCCTAGCGGGGGGGGAGGGGGGGTTAGGAGTCGGGGCGAGATAGATGAAGAGCGTGGGCCGGGTGTTGAGAAAGTGGCTGGCTGCACTGGATAGGTGCTCTGAGCGAGGCTTGTGGCACCGCAGCGCATATCAGCTTCTGGGACCCTTGATTGGGGGTGGCCGCGCCAGTAGCCGCTGCTCGGCTACCAGAGTATTTTCCGGTGCGAGATTTCTCTGATTTGTTCGTTTTGACCCTCTGTGCTCCACCCCATAGCACTCGCATACCCTCGTGGCCGTCGGTTTCCGCCCGGCAACGCAGGATCGTCCTCTCCGCAGACGTGCTGTTTCGTTTCCCGCTGCCAATTGGCCATATCCCGCCCCAATCCCTCCACGCCATACGGCGCCTCGCGACATCGGTCCATACCTGCGTTTTGCTGCCCTTTCGGACCTGGGGGATACCATGTTCCTATCTTACTTTCAGGCCGCCGCGCCAGTTGTCGCCCCTCTGTAGACCGGCAGCTCGGTTTCTACCCAGAGTGGCGACATTCGCTTCAGTCCGCCACCGAACTAGCGCGTCACTCCGTTCCACAGTATTCCCACCCAACCTCCGGGTGTCCCCCGCAGCTAGCCCAAAAGGTAGCTTGTACAGTAGCTGTATCTCCTGATTTTTCGTCTCGCTTTCTCTCAAAGCACGCCCATCATTGCCATCCCCTCTTACCGTTGTGCGGATACTTCCAGAGAGCTCATGTTCCAGTTTCTACTCTAACTTCGCATCTTACAGTATTAACCCTTGCCATTCGACTTTAACCCCTCCTCCAGGACAACATCCGTCTCTCAAAGTTTGCTTGCGAAGCCTATTTGACCCAACTAGTCGCTGTCTTCCATGTTCCCCGCCCTCCTCCCCCACCGCATCGACCTGCGCTGCTTCCTGTGCTATTGCGTTCATCGTGTGGAGCCCCGCGCCCGCGCATACTAAAGCCTTCGCACCACCCCTCTTTCGGACCGCCGACATACCATCTCCCCTCGAGCCACTGCGCCCGTTTCGCCAGCACTTAAACAACAGCGCCGCCCCGCATCCGGTCTGACGCTCGAGCCTACTCGCACAAACAGAATGGCAGACACTCAGTTCGTGTAGATATTGAAACCCCCCCTCTTCCTTGGTTCGTACTCATATGGAGGCGCTCATTGCACCAGGAGCTGAGAACATAACCATGGAGGCCTGCAAACCTAGCAACCGCTGCTGGTCCGCACCCATCTTGCAGCACCTATTTTTTCTACCCATCCATTTCTACGACGCGGCGTGTTTGCGCGTGCTTGCAAACTGCCACTTCACTCAATTGCCGGTACATGGCGATTTCATATTTTAAGCTGCCTTTAGAGAGTTTCCGTAGTTTTGGTGGGGAGGGAGGAGGAGGGGGGGGGGGGGGGGGGGGGGGTGGCCCGCAACCTGTACAGTTGTCATATCCATGGATGAAGACATCTTTGGACGCTGCATTGGTCAGGGAAAACGCTACTCTACGAACACAATGGGAAGGCACAAACTGCCTGAGCGTTGCTGCC